TCTCTCTCTCTCTCTCTCTCTCTCTCTCTCTCTCTCTCTGGGTGGTTATTTCCTTTTGATGTGCATCACCTGCCCTTCCGTCAAGGGTTCCCTTCCCACTCGTGTCCCTTCGCCACGCTTCTTCCGTGCAGGAGCTGAAGGAGAAGAAGACCTTCTGCCAGGGCTACATCCAGCAGCTGGTGAAGGAAGCCGCCGAGATCCACCTGAAAGACGAGTCCTTGCAGAAGCTCTGGCCTCAGATGTTCGTGGAGCTGGTCCGGGACGCGGTGATTGAGATGCACCACCAGGATTCCCACCGGAGGCACTGCCTGCAGCGCCTGGCTGAGGAAAAGCTCTGACCCTCCCCCCCCCCCCGAGTTCCCTTCCCCTCTCAGTATTCTGGGGTGGGGTCTGTTTGTTTTTTGGGTTCCCCCAAAGGCCCTGGAAAGGTCTCCATCGTTGCCAGAGGCACTGCCGAAAGCCTTGCCTCGAAAAAAGCCCCGTTTTCCTAGCAAAAGACTCTCTTCCCCTACTTTTCCACGGGAGGGCTTGTATTTTTATTTTCCTTTCCCCACATTCTAACGTGTACACGAGCCCTGGGGATCTCGGCAGACCCCACAGATTTTTAACTTAATTTATTTTTTTTCGCTGAGGCCAAAGGATCCTCATCTTCTTGCACTTTTTTCCTTCTTCTTGTTGTTGTTGTTGCTGGTTTTATAACTCCGTGCATGTTCAAGCACTACTTGGAAAGAAATGAGACCTTGGAGTTCAATCCTGTACGTTTTATTATTCCTTTCCTGGTGCTGCTGCAGGTGGCGGCAGAAACGTTGCAGGTGAAAAACACCGGATTTGCAGGGTTGGAAGTTAATAAATTATCCTGGTTGACAACTCCCAAGGGAACTGTTCTTTCAATAGTAAATAAGAGTGCAGGAATAAAGTGCAAAGCTCGGGTGAAATATGTAGAAGGCAAAAAGTATCCGGGGGGGGGGCTGGAACCGTGTCGATTATTGCAAAGCACAACGTTTAAAACCTGAAAGCATAAAACAAAAAACCTCAAGTGAATCAAAAAAGTTTTCAACTCAAGCGAAAAAGACATTCAGAATCAAAATTGATGTACCCCAAATTCTTCTGCCCTGTTTAGCAGCTTTTGCCGCCTTCTTAAATTGGGTGGTGATGGATGTCAGGAGGCTCTTAAAATTTGGGGAAAGACAGTGCTCTCTAAAGAGACGTTGGTGCAAATTTTAGTCAGTTTTCTCCAGTGGGTCTTCCTGGTTACATGCGTATTTCATTTTTTTTAGTGGCAGGGAAGTTTTTTCAGCTCAGTCAAGGGGCTGGTGCCCCATTATGGAGGCTAATCCGTTGGCCTTGGGCAAAGCGGAGTTCTTAACCACCGAAGTAGATTGGAGGACCCAATTAATTCCCGACTTTATCAGGTTTTAAGAGTTCCTTGGGTGATTTTTGTCACCCTTGGCAGGTCTCCTCACACCATTTGCCAAGAAATTAACGCAGGTCCTCGGATGGTAAACACGAGCGATGTTTGCGTTGGCTGCTGGTTCCTTCTGAAAACAAAACTGCCAGAACTATGAACTTTCTGCTTGAACTATAAGATGGTATTTTCCAGGTTGGGTTTGTAAGGAGCTCTTCCGTTTTTTTCCTGGCTCTCCTTGACCATAAAGATCAAGGTCTACCAACCTGTGAAGAGGTTAAGATGTTTGCAGAGATGCTGGCAGCTCCTTTCTTGGTCGTCTCCTGGTTTCCTTTTAGAATCCTCTTCAATCCAAGTTCCAGCCAATTAACGCTCTATCTACTGTCTCATTCTAAAACAGCCACGGGACCACGGTCATAATTCAAGGTCCTTCTGAGTTCCGGGCAGAAGACAACCCAAAAGTGGGCTTCTTTACAAGACAAGGCTAGGATATCTGAGATTTACTCGCTTTTAGAATCAATTTGATGGAAGGGCAACATGTTTGAAGTGTATAAAATCGAGGATGAGATGGAGACATTGGGCTGGAGGGAGGTGGTTTTTGGGTTTTTTTGACCAGGGTCGTCTTGTGAAACTGATTGGAGATGCAGAACATAGTTCTTCAGGAAGCAGTTCTTCAAATTAACCTGTGGGATTCGTTCAAAGAAGATGTGATGGCCGCTTAAGTTGGGTGGCTTTCAAAAATATTTGCACACCTTTGCAGCGGTTGGTCCCCTCAAGGACTAGGTCTCCACGTCCCAGTTGCAAACATCTTGAGATAACCTTGGTTGGTCGTGGTGTGGAACAAATCCCTGGACTTGACCTAGCAAGGCTGTTCCTACAAGGTATAATTCAGGTTCCTCGGGCCTGGCTTTTACTGTGTTCTATGAAGGCACGCCCCTTGTAGTTCATAAACCATGGTTTAAGGCTTAGCAAGTTGCAGTTTATTCAACGAACCAGGGTTAGGTGACATTGGAAGTTCAAGAAAGTTAAGATGGCGCCTGTAACACCGCTTCTTTTTTAGCGTGTACCGAAGCCCGCCAGGCATAGAGACTTTCCCCAGACTGAAGAAGTTCCCTTCATTATTTTTCAACAATTAAAAAGTTTCCGGATTGAGTTTCTTGGTGACTTCATGTCGGGCTCTCTTCCACTTCTACAAGGCAAACTCTCTGACCATAACTTTTAATTTTGAGAAGTCAATATTCAGAATAGTTCTTGATTTCAGACCCTGGCCGCTTTGGCAAAGACGCCGCTTGTGAGCCACAATTTGATCGCAACCTTTTGGTTTGCTTGAGATGAATCCCGCCTGGCCTTCCTACTGTACAGTTTGCGCCGCCAACCAGCCAACCGACCTGCGCGAACCTGATCGCCTTTTCTCCTTCTGGCGCTGGCTCAGCCCATGGAAGTGATAATACGACAGGGTTGACCCCAACGCTTTCCTTCCTGGCTTCTCTGATGGACGTCCGCCCCAGATCCTTGCGCGGGTTCATATTACAGCTTTTTGCGTCTTGCGGCTTTGCGCGTGGATCAGCCTGAGCTCTGCCGGCAGGGCGATGGGAACTGTAGTCCCAACGATTTGACAGAGACCCCCCCCCCAAGCCCATGGGTCCTGAACAGATAATGGAATAAGGTTCGGTTCTGGAATCCTTGGAAAAAGGGAGTCCAGCTGCCTAAATTTTCGTATTTTCTGTCTACGCAGAGATCAGGTTTAGGAAAAACAAAACCCTTCCTTCCATTATAGATTTGAGGTTGCGCCTTTAATAACTTATGCACCGGGGAGGATGGCCTAGAATCACATCTGGTTTCCATCGACTTAAAATACACTTTAGACAAATGATTGTGAAGTTAATTCAAAATGCAGCGGTGAAGAAAACGGGCGGTGGTTGCATTTCTGTACATCTGCTTTCTCCGTCTAGACATCTTATTTTGAGTATCGCAGATTTTAATGGCATTAGCATAATTTTGCAGGTGCTGAAGCATTCCTGGTGGTGCCTTCTTGGGCCGGAGATTGAGCCCTACACCTGAGTAGCCCATCCAGGTCCTGGTTGTCCCGAAGTGTCGTGGTTCACCGACAGCAGGTGTGGGCGGCTGAGGTCTCGGAGAGCGAGGACTCAGAGGAGGGGCCTGTGTGTGGTGCAGGGATGGGGCCAGGACTATTGGAGATTGGGGTGCTGCCTTTAGAGATTGTGGAGGCTGGCAGCAGTGAGGAAAAGGTCCCCGAGGAGCCTGTGCCCAGTGTGTGCACGCGCAGGGCTGCTCGAAGGAAAGAGCAGCTGCAGCAGCACGGGTGACTCGGGAGTAAGGCTGCAAGGTGATGGCCCCTCCCTTAAGGGATAAAAGCCAGCTGAGAACCTGGCGTTCTTTGCAGGAAGCAAAGAAGTTTTTGCACTCAAAGCTGGTGGACATTAGGAATATCTGAGTTGGGGTTTGGAGACTCTTTGCGCTGGAGTTCTAGCTTAGTAACTTTATCTGGTGCTCTTGGCAGCCTTGCTAAACCTTGGCAAGGCTCTTTCTTATCGGAGCTAATTGGTTTGAAGCAGCCTTTTACCTGTGAAGTAACGGGATTCGTAAAGAACCATTAAAAGGTTGGTGCTGTCACCTTTGTCTCGTGTTGGCTTCCTTGGAAGCAGGTTTGGGTCAGAACACAAAGGTGTATTTTTAAAGACTTTGTTTTTCTTGGAAGACGTTTCGCTTCTCATCCAAGAAGCTTCTTCAGTTCCGCCTGAACAGTGGCGGATGGAAGGATTTACGTTCCTTGCAGTCACCTGGTTGCTAGCCCTCTTTCCAAACGTCGTTCGAATGGTGTGCAGAAGTATGAACAGGTTTCCCAGAAAAAAAAATTGCAGCATACAGGATCTCAGGCGGCCCTGAGGGCACAGAGGGACCTCCAAGTGGCCTCAACGACTCTCAGAGAGAGCACTAACGACCAGAGGACTGCAAAGGAATGGAAATCCTTCCCTTCTCTCGCCATTCTGTCAGAACTGGAGACACTTTCTTGGATGAGGAGCGAAAGGTCTTCAAGCACAACCAGAAAGTCCAGTTGCCTTTTGAAAGAAAGCCCCTCTGGGACAGACGAAAATCACCTCCGCCATGATTTTTATTCACCTTCTGAAAAGCGGATGTCAAGCCAAGGGCGCAGTTCCGATGGAAGAAATGCAGAGAGAGAGAGAGAGAGAGAGGGAGGGAGGGAGGGAGGGACGACAACAAATTGCTCATCCTTGTACCCACCTTGACCCTTCCCGTCGACAAATGATTATAATATTCTGCAAATGATGATATAATTCCCACCAGGCTTCTTAAAAATGGCACATTGCAAAGCCAAATAAAACTTCTAGGAAGGAAGGAAGGAAGGGAGGGAGGGAGGGAGGGAGGGAGAGAGAGAAAGAGAGAGAGAGAGAGAGAGAGAGAGATATGTCTGAGATGGTTTGTAAGGTCATCTTGGAGCGATGAGTTGGAACAACTTTTCAGTTTGTTTTGAAGGACGCTTGAGGCATCCGGGGGGGGGGGGGGGGAAAGACACACACACACACACACACACACACACACACACACACACACACACACACACCCTTCCAAAGAGCAGCGCTCTCTCCATCTTAGCAAGGAGAAATTGGATTCCTTCAACTCGACCGGAGGTTGCCGGGAAGGCCGCAGAAAGATGAGCTGGAGGTTTTTGGGAGGGGGGAGGAAACCTCAGCTCAGTGGGGTGAATCTTTTCATGCGTCTTTCATTACCTCATTGCCTCGGGGGGGGGGGGGGGGGGGGACGGTTCTCTGTCCATTTGGCGATCTGGTAAATCATCACAAATAAAAATCACCTAGCATTTTGTTAATGGTCATTTCTGGGTTTTATTCCTGCTACGGAAACCTTTTCCTTAACAATCGTCACCTCCGTGAAGACAGCGGAACAGGGGCCCCACCCTGTGCAAAAACTTCAGCTTGCAGATCAGGAGAACTTTAACCAGCAGGATTATTTAGGGACGGTTCAATTCTTTTTGCCCACATTTCCGTAGCAAATGCCATACGTTTCCTATATATCTTGTTATTGCTTTTATTTTTTGGCCTGTACATGTAGTCCTTAAATTACGAGTGGTTGCTTTAATGGCCGCTCGAAGTTACGAGACTCTCCAGAACTTCTTATGACCCATTTTCAGAGTTACGACGGCTACACACACACACACATCACAGTCACGGGGGGGGCTTGGCTCACCTTTATATTCACATGACCCCAATTTGTGATGCCTTTTGCCAGTTCCCACTGTTCTGGTTTCCAGCACAAGCTCCCACTGGGGGAAAATGGGTTCGCTTAATGACCATGGCATTTGCTGAACGGC